GAAGGCTATTTCAAAATCAGTGTCTACACAGCACTTATTTCAAAATAGCTATTTCGAATTTGGCTTTACTCCTCGTGAAATGAGGTTTACGAAATTCGAAATATGTGCTCCGCTATTTTGAATTAATTTTGAAATAGCGGTTTGGCTGTGTAGACGCTAGTAAAATTATTTCGAAATAAGGGCTGTTATTGCAAAATAACTTTTCTGTAGAGACATACCCTAAGGTAGCAGATGGGCAGAGGTGTGGTACAGCAAGGGGCTGGAAAAGCTGGATGACTGTGGGCAACTCCTTTTGGCCTCATGTATCAGTGGCTATTGCCCAAGCTCAGGCTGACATAGGCCCAGATCAAACTGAGTTCCCCAGAGCAAGGGCAGCCAAGGCTCAGGTTGGTCCAGGTTGTTGGCTGTGATTTGTGCAAAGATTTGCTCCAAACAAGGTGCTGAAGGTGCTGCACCTGGGTGGTTTTTCAGCCCACTGGTTGCTATGCAGGGTCTCCAGGATGCGTGATTGATCTATGGGAAACATCTGTCACAGCAGAGTGTGAGCACTAGAGCTAACAGGCGGGAGATTTTTGTGCTGGTCTGTATCACTAGGGCTGGGGGCTGCTGTAATAATGCTGTCAGGTGTGATCTGCAGCATCGTCAGCTTGAGCAGCACTGATTGTGAGAGTGTAATCGGTGTAGCTGCTTCCAGACCCACTGCCACTGACAGTGAGGGGTTCAGTGTGTGGGACAGGGCTGCCAACAAGTGGGATAAGGATGGAGATGCAGGATCTGGGCAGGAAATGGGGAGTAGAGGGGTGAGTGTGTGAGGTCTGGGCAGGAGCAGGCTGGGAGTAAGGAATCTGGCCAGGGAGAGGGGGCAAAAGCAAGGGCAGGTGCAGCGTGTGGCCAGGGGGAAAGGTGAAGAACTTTTCTTTATGCACCCTCTCCACGCCACTCATGCTTTTCATAGAATCATAGAATAATAGGACTGGAAGGGACCTCGAGAGGTCATCGAGTCCAGCCCCCCGCCCTCAAGGCAGGATCAAGCTCTGTCTACACCATCCCTGACAGATGTCTATCTAACCTGTTCTTAAATATCTCCAGAGAGGGAGATTCCACCACCTCCCTTGGCAATTTATTCCAATATTTGACCACCCTGACAGTTAGGAATTTTTTCCTAATGTCCAATCTAAACCTCCCCTGCTGCACTTTAAGCCCATTACTCCTTGTCCTGTCCTCAGAAACCAAGAGGAACAAATTTTCTCCTTCCTCCTTGTGACACCCTTTTAGATATTTGAAAACCGCTATCATGTCCCCCCTTAATCTTCTTTTTTCCAAACTAAACAAGCCCAGTTCATGAAGCCTGGCTTCATAGGTCATGTTCTCTAAACCTTTAATCATTCTTGTTGCTCTTCTCTGTACCCTTTCCAATTTCTCCACATCTTTCTTGAAATGTGGCGCCCAGAACTGGACACAGTACTCCAGCTGAGGCCTAACTAGTGCAGAGTAGAGCGGCAGAATGACTTCACGAGTTTTGCTTACAACACACCTGTTGATACAACCTAGAATCATATTTGCTTTTTTTGCAACAGCATCACACTGTTGACTCATATTCAACTTGTGGTCCACTATGACCCCTAGATCCCTTTCTGCCATGCTCCTTCCTAGACAGTCGCTTCCCATCTTGTATGTATGGAACTGATTGTTCCTTCCTAAGTGGAGCACTTTGCATTTCTCTTTATTAAACCTCATCCTGTTTACCTCTGACCATTTCTCTAACTTGCTAAGGTCATTTTGAATTATGTCCCTATCCTCCAAAGAAGTCGCAACCCCACCCAGTTTGGTATCATCTGCAAACTTAATAAGCGTACTCTCTATCCCAATATCTACATCATTGATGAAGATATTGAACAGTATGGGTCCCAAAACAGACCCTTGAGGAACTTCACTTGTTATCCCTTTCCAGCAGGATTTAGCACCGTTAACAACCACTCTCTGACTACGGTTATCCAGCCAATTATGCACCCACCTTATCGTGGCCCTATCTAAGTTATATTTGCCTAGTTTATCAATAAGAATATCATGCGAGACCGTATCAAATGCCTTACTAAAGTCTAGGTATATGACATCCACCGCTTCTCCCTTATCCACAAGGCTCGTTATCCTATCAAAGAAAGCTATCAGATTAGTTTGGCATGACTTGTTCTTCACAAATCCATGCTGGCTATTCCCTATCACTTTATTACCTTCCAAGTGTTTGCATATGATTTCCTTAATTACCTGCTCCATTATCTTCCCTGATGTGCAGGGTCTTGGAGGGAGGGTGTGTGAGGAGAGTGGGGTGCAGATTCTGGACATGAGGGGAAGGTGGGGACTTGCTTTCATGCCCTGTGCTGCTCCCAGACACTGACCCAGACACATCCTCACGGCTAACGGGAGCAGCAGGGAAATCCCCCAGGCTGTGCATCCTTGCACTGCTGTTCCCACAACTCAGGAAGGGAGAGGGGGAGCAGCCGTGTGCTTAGCTGCTTCTGCCTCTGCTTCTTCCCCACGAGGCAGATCTGGTGGAAAGGTTCAGGGCTTCTCCCACTCACTCCCAGCGGGAAGCTGGTGCTGATGATCTAACCCCATGAGGGGGCAGAAAGCTGGAATTCCAGCATAAGCTCCCTGCTGTGGGAAAAAAGGGGGGGCTGAGATTGTCCACAGACCATTTGGAAGGCAGCTACATACCATAGATGGACCAGAGCTCAGGTCTAGTGATTGCTGAGTTCATTCCCCTCCTGTTCTAGCACCCACCACCCCAATGTCTGCACTTGCAATGGTAAAAATGGGACCCAGAATTCATCCTGGGGACAGCTCCAGCGACTGGGGCTGAGAGGGGGAGTTGGGGATCTGTTAGAGATTTTAAATGAAAATGGGAATCTCCAGTTGCTAGCATTTGAGCATGTGGATTAGACTGTTGCTGTGTCCCTCGGGATGCTTTATAAAGCTGGAGTAGAGATCTCTCTCTGTCTTCTCTGTTAGTGGCATGGTAGCTATGGCAGCTGAGAGAAAAGGACAGAAGCACATGGAGCATCTAAAAGGGCTAAGTTCTGGAGTTAAGAGGGACGGGACCCAAATCTGGCACATACCCAGCCTGTGTGGAGACTTGCAGAGGGCGGCACCAGGATGCTACAGAGGAAGCAGCTGAAATACTGTGAGAGAATCTGAAACTGTACAGAGGAGGGAGGTTTTTGTGCTGGTCTGTATCACTGTGCGAGAGGGGTGGTATAATGCTGCTGACAGTAATAATCTCCGGCATCGTCCGCTTCAACTCTGCCGATGGTGAATGTGAAGTCGGTGCCAGACCCACTGCCGCTGAACCGGTCTGGGACCCCAGACGGACGGCTGGAAGCGTAGTAGATAAGGAGCTTAGGCGCTTGTCCTGATTTCTGTTGGTACCAGGCCATCTCACTGCCGACACTGGAACTGGTTTTGCAGCGGATAGTGACTGTGTCTCCAGGAGACACTGCCAGGGATTCTGGAGTCTGAGTCAGCACAATCTGCCCACTGGAGTCTGGATGGGAGAAAACATTTAAAAGAAAAAGAAATATCCAGTGACTCAAACCTCATAATTTTAAACTAATTATAAACCTGCACCTCATATCCCTCCTGCAGTGACACAATAAATGCCACTGGGAAGGATCGCTTGAACAGGAAAATCTGAGCATCTGCAGCCTGGTATTATTTAAGCGAATTTCCCCTGTTACTTCTTTTACCGTGAATGCAGAGCACAAGGAGCCAGAGAAACTGAGTCTGGGAGATCATCTTGGCAGATGGGGAGCTCAGAAGCACAAACAATTGAAGTGACATGTTTATATCTGCTCCAGAGAGCAGGGGACTCTCACTGGAGTGGAAACATGCAAAGCAGCAGCTCTGTGTAAATGCCTCTTCCCTCTGCAGCCCCAGGGTCACACTGAATAGACTTTATGCCAATGAGACCCATCCTGTGAGTGGAACATGAAGAAAAAGATAAAAGCTGGGGGTGGGGAAGGAATAAAAAGAGTCCCATCCCGTCCATTTTTTGGTTCCTCAGGATCAGACACCCTTTCACTTCAGGGAAAGCTCCCTAGCGTGGGTTGCCTGATTTTTAATAGTCTTTTTAACACAAATTAAACTCCTGCACGAGGCAACATTGAACACAGGCTTGAAATGTGTGTGTGTGTGTGTGTGTGTGTGTGCAGGTTTTCCAAGGGGATGCTCCTGCAGACATGCTGCGTTGGGTATTCAATTAATCAAAAGTGTCACAGGTTACAGTGTTCCAGGTCACAGAACAATAATTTACAAGGCTTCAGCAAGGGCAAATGAAAAACCCAGATGCGTCTGATCCTTTTGTCCTCTCTGCTGGAGGGTTCCCTAGCATCCCTGGGCTATGCTTTTGCTTGCAGCCACCCTCTCCATTCCCAGAAGCCCCCAGAGGGCTAGCAGAGTGTGGCCCTATGCGTATCAGTCTAGACACAGAGCCGTGAGCTGGACTGCAACAGCCATATTCTCCTTGTGCTTCTCTTCAGGCAGCAGCTGTTCTTCTGGAATCACAGAGGTTGAAGGCACTCAGGAGGTTTTGGTACAGGGCTGTGTCACTGTGTGAAAGCTGACACCTTCTTGGTGATTATCTCCATCATCTGCACTGACAGTGAGAGTGTAAATCAGTCTGACCTTTCCCAGAATGATTGGCCTGGAAGCAGGCTGAGACCCAATGGACAGGGGAGAGCCAGAGGTTGTGCTGATCTGCACTGGCACCAGACAATATAGCACGTGATCCTCCTGCACAAGTGAATAGAAGCAGTGGAGCTCAGCACTGCTGACTGTCAGGTTCTCTGTCTTTTTCTGTGTTTTGTCAGCCACAGAGACTTATTTAATTACTCCTGTGGGAGGCTGTCTCTAAGACTGCACCTGACTAGAGGTGGCTGTAATGTCTCCTGTGCTGGGAAAAGGCAGCCCTGTTCTTCTGGGAAACCTGTTGGCCCATTTGGGGTGGGATGCCTGCAGCAGTGTTGAGTGGGGCCCAGTACAATGACAGGGAGGGGTTGATGCTGGGGCTAGGAGGGATCTCTCTGCGTTGAAGCAGACAACCCTCGCTGAGTGATCCAAGAGCCAGCTGTGCACACGACTGGACGTGTGTCCCTGGTGTCAGTCACAGCTGAATGCATGAAGGGTTTGGGAGTCACAACAGTGAATGTCTAGCTTCCTGCTGCTGGTGGAGTCTTCAGCCCTGCGTTAGGTACCTGGATCCCTCTAGAAGTCTCAGGGAAAGCTTTAGGTGCCGAAAAAAAGGGATTAACGGAGCAGTATGTTGAGTAGGGAGTGGCCTAGAATAGCCGGTGGCAGATGCTGAGAAAACGGGTTGGGCCTCACCACTCCCTCTCTCAAGAGGTCAGGCACCTCACTCAGGGCTGGGAGAAGGTGCCTGTCTGCTTGGAATTCATGGCTGTCAACACCCATTTCTGGATCTGGGCAGCTCAGCCAGGTCAGGCCTTTCTCCTGAAGGGCTAGAATCCGACTGATGGCTTCCTCTTTTACATGAATAGCAGTTGCACTGAGGAGGAGATACTGACCTGTGCACAGCTGTTTGAAATCCTTCCTCTGCCTGATTTCGAGCGGGGATTTTGGCTGTGGGAAGGCAGATTTCAGGTATGTTTCCTGATGGCCGTGCTGTGGGATAGATGTCCCTAAATCTGTCTTGTTCGAGCTGTTTCTCTTGGAGTAGCTAATGAAATAGACATTGGACCAGGCCTTGGATTGGGTCTCCCATATTCCAGGCTGTGTCTCTACGCTAATAGATATTGCATAATGTACCCGATCCTGCATCCCCGTAGCAGCAAGAACAGACTCCACCAGCCAGCAGAATAGAGGGGGTTTATTGCTTCTCCAGGATACAGCACAGCATAGACGTGATGTGTCTACAGGAGTCTGGGCCAGGATGCCTCAGCCCCCTTGAGAGGGGGTCCCTGGGCCCCTAGATTCCAGCCCCCTCCTTAGTCTGTTTCCTTCATGGTTCCAGCCCAAGACTGCCCGTTCCTCCAACACTCACTTCTTTTGTTCCATCCCTTCCCTTAACTGCTAGAACCGGTTCCATCACTCTCATGGGGGCCCTCACACACCCCCCACTGGGGGCCAGTAGGGGTCATCCCCAGCCCACAGCCCAAGCACTGAAACCAGCAAGGTACTGACACTACATCACAGTGTCACTGGTCTTTTCTAAGTAACCTTTTCACACCCTGTACTGGGAGCTATTGTGGATGTGACAGGTGGCTCTGGGGAGGCAGCTGTAAATTACAGTAGACCCAGGGGCTTTTCTAACTTATTGGGTTCTGAAGCAACCCAGGCCTGGGCAGAATCTTAACTTTGCGCCCTCCACATGGGCTGCATCTCTGTCCCCTGAGGTTTATAGTCTGACAGGGAGTGTACATAACATGACAGGAAACCACTTGAATGTGCTGGGATTGAGATGCCATTGATGTGGAGTGTGTAAATCTGCTGCTTTGCTTTTGCGGACAGAAGTGGAATTTAAAGTTGCTCTTCCCTCTGCCTCTCCTGTTCTTTTTTTCTCTCTTCCCTAGAGCCTCTCCACTCACCGTGCTTTCTCTAGGATGCCTGGCCTCTGGGAGTAGCAAGGTGATCAGTATCTGTGGACTCTGTTCTGGAATCTAGTGTTGTTTCTAATCACTAGCAAAGAGCCTGTCTTCTCTTCATGCACCAATTTCTTCTTTCTCATCAATGGTGTCAAATGTGCTGCACTCACTGAACAGAATAAAAGAACCCCGGGTTGAGCTCGATGCTCTGAATTGTTAGACTCTCTTGCCCCTAGTGGTGGTTAGAGAGGCAAGCAAGAGCCAGTGGCTCCTGCCATGGGAGTAGCAGCTGTTGAGAAGATTCTGTGTCAGAGAAGATGTTTTAATGAGCAAAGCCACAGAGCAGCCCAGGGAGGTTTGTCCTGGGCTGTATCATGGGGAGAGGGAAGCACTACCCCCTGACTAATAACAGGATCTTGAGGTTCAACACTGTTGATCTTGTGGGTGAAGTGAAATGAGATCTCTACCCACTGCCACTGCAATGGCTGTAGCCTCAGGGGAGACACCGTAAGGAATCCTGTACTTCTCTGTCCCCCTGCCGTCTGACTGACTTATAATTCAGTCAATACCTAGAAATCAGCAATGGAGTGAATGGAAACATTTCCGTCTGCATCTTGGCATGGTGGATTGTGAATATTAATTACAGATTTATATTCCACCAGGCAGTGGGGGAGGGAGTGAATATAAACTCTGAAGCTTCAGGGGGTAGCCGAGTTTGTCTTTCCAGGAGAAACTTAAAAAAACAACAAATAGTCTGGTAGCACTTTAAAGTCTAACAAAACAGGTAGATGGAACCATGGGCTGTCCCCACGAAAGCTCATGATACCACCTACATGTTTTGTTAGTCTTTAAAGTGCTACCAGACTATTTGTTGTTTTTTAAAGTTTATAAAGTCTGTGTTCATAGACCTTCCAGCAGGAGTGATTTGGTCAGATTGTCTCTTGGGTTTCTGCTCTGTCTGCGGAGGGAGAATGCCATGGAGAGCTGGAGGAGTAAACTTTCCTAGGATCCAGGTTTTCCTCTAACTGCTACAGAAGATTTCTTTTTCTCTTCCCCTGGGGCAGCAGGGACTGACCAGTGCTGGAGAGTGATGTTGGATTAGATGGACCCATTATTTAACTCCTCTATCACCTTTCGCAGGCCTTCTGCATGCCAAGGAACAGCTGTTCAGTAGCATGCAGGAGGTGCTGGGATGGAGGGGGAGAAGTGGGGACAGAGGATGCTTGGGAAGGGGGTGCAATGGAGGGCAGAGGAGGAGCAGGGCCAGAATATTTTTACTGAAACCACCTGGCAACCCTACATGTTAAAGGACGAAGTTCTGGAGCAAAGAGGGAATAGACCCAAGTCTGACACACACCCAGCCTGTGGGCAGCCTTGCAGAAGCACGGGCATCAGGAAGCTACAGAGGAAGCAGCTGAACGAGTGTGAGTGACAGTCCGAAACTGTACAGAGCAGGGAGGTTTTTGTGCTGGTCTGTATCACTGTGTGAGAGGGGTACTGCTATACTGCTGACAGTAATAATCTCCAGCATCATCCGCTTCAACTCTGCTGATGGTGAATGTGAAGTCAGTGCCCGACCCACTGCCACTAAACCGGTCTGGGATCCCAGAGGGACGGGTGGATGCGCTATAGATGAGGAGCTTAGGCGCTTGTCCTGATTTCTGTTGGTACCAGGCCATGTAGCCAGAAGCACTGGACCTGGCTTTGCAGCGGATAGTGACTGTGTCTCCTGGAGACACTGCCAGGGATTCTGGTGTCTGAGTCAGCACAATCTGCCCACTGGCATCTAGATGGGAGAAAACATTTAAAAGAAAAAGAAATATACAGTGACTCAAACCTCATAAGTTTTAACTAATTACAAACCTGCACCTCATATCCCTATTCACTAAAACTATAAATGCCACTGGAAAACATAGCTTGAAAAGGAAAATCTCTACATCTGCAGCCTGGTATTATTTAAGCTAGTTTCCCCTGTTATTTCTCTTACCCTGAATGCAGAGCACAAGGAGCCAGAGAAACTGAGTCTGGGAGATCATCTTGGCAGCTGTGGAGCTCAGAAGCACAAACAGTTCAAGTGACATGTTTATATCTGCTCTTAACAGCAGGGGACTGTCACTGGAGTGGAAATATGCAAAGCAGCAGCCCTGTGTAAATGTCGATTCCCTCTGCAGACCCAGGGTCACATTGAATAGATTGAACACCCATGAGTCCCATCCTGTGAGTGGAAAATAAAGGAAAGGATAAAAGCTGGAGGTGGAGAACGATTAAAATCAAGCCTTAACCTAACTGTTTTGGGTTACTCTAGATCCAACATCTTTTCATTTCATGGAAAACTCCCTAGCCTTTCGCTTGCCAGATTGTCCATAGTATTTTTAACAAATTAATCTCCTTCACAAGACAACATTGAACACAGGCTCAGAACGCGAGAGTAGGGAGGTTCTCCAAGGGGATGCTCCTGCAGACATCCTGTGTCTGCTGTTGTATTGACCAAGAGCGTCAGGGCCTCCTTAGAATTCCAGGTCACAGCCCAACAGCTTATAAGGCCTCAGCAGAGACAAATGGAAAACCCCAATGAGTTTGCCCACTTGGTCTTCTCTGCTGGAGGGTTCCCTAGCACACCTGGGCTGTAGTTTTACTTTGAGCCACCCTCTCTTTTCCCAGCAGCCCCCAGAAGGGTCACTCACTGTGCAGTAGCAGGGTCTAGCCCTCTGCATATCAATCTAGATACAGAGAGTTGAGCTGGATGCAACAGCCGCATTGGCCCTGTGCTTCTCTGCAGGCAGCAGCTGTTCCTGTGGAATCACAGGAGTTGAAGAGACCTGGCAGGTTTTGGGACAGGGCTGTGTCATTGTGTGAGGGAAGCTGCCACCTTCTTGGTGATGATCTCCATCGTCTGCATCAACCACACTGACAGTGAGAGTCCTTCCTTGCCTGGCTGCCCCCAAACCAGGCTGGGAACTCACAGGGCAAGCTAGAGACAGAATAATAAGAAGGGAGTTTGTGCTGAGTTCTGTTGGCACCAGACGGTACAGTTCCCAGCACTTGCAGTGGCTTTGCAACGAATTGTGACTTTTTCTTCTGGAGTCCTTGTCATCCCAGTGTCTTATCTGGAGCCTCAGTGATGAATAAGATAAGCTACTTTATAGATACTAGCCAATTAGCCCGTCATAAGACGGGATTTTCGGGTCTCTCCTCCACGTTCGTCTTCTCTCCTGAGCCTCCGGTCTCTCGTTCCCTCTCTCTCTCTCTCTCTCTCTCTCTCTCTCCTCTCTCTTTCTCTTCTCCTCCCCCTCCTGCCTCTCACTTGGGGGACCATGGAGCTCAAATGGCCATTTGGGCTCCGCACTCCCCGTGCTGCATGGGGGGCACGGAGCCCAAACAGTCCCGTGTACTGCTGGAACAGCCAGCATTTCGGCAACAGTGCCGCCCAGAGGGAACAGCCAGCATTTCGGCAACAGTGCCGCCCAGAGGGAACAGCCAGCATTTCGGCAACAGTGCCGCCCAGAGGGAACAGCCAGCATTTCGGCAACAGTGCCGCCCAGAGGGAACAGCCAGCATTTCGGCATTACAGATTCTCAGACACTGGGCTACTATATATATGATGATGTCTCCCTCTTGTAATCAGCTGGTAACACTCTTTTTTAGAGGAGTGGCTACTTTTAATTCCATTACTGAATGTCCAGAGAGGTTAAAGTTTTCCCCTACAGGTTTATGTGTGTTACATTCCGGATGTCTTATTTCTATCCATTTATTCTTGGTTCAGAGATTGTCTGGCTTGACCAATATGCACGGTAGAGGGGCATTGCTGGCACTAGATGGCATATATTACATTAGTGGATGTGCAGGTGTATGAGCCCCTGATTTTATGGCTTGTGTGGTTAGATTGCCTGTACAGACGTGTGGACAGAGTTGGCAATGGGCTTTGTTGCAGGGATAGGTTCCTGCATAAGTGTGGCACAGCTGCTGGTAAGTATTTGCATCAGGTTTACATTTATATTCCACATGGGGCTGGATGACATGCTGTCAGGATCAGCATCCCCAGTGATGCCAAGGAATGCCCAGTGGCTGAGCTCTGTGTCAGGTTAGGGCAACCAGATGTCCCAGATCTGTGACCATTCCCAGAGTGATTGGCCCTGAATCAGGCTGAGACCTGAGAGGGTAGGAGAGAGCCAGAATAATGAGAATGGAGGTTGTGCTGATTTGTGTTGGTACCAGACAATAATGTACCTGCTCCTCGGGAACAAGCGAATAGAAGCAGTGGAGCTCAGCACTGCTGACTGTCAAGTTCTCTGTCTTTTTCTGTGTTTTGTGAGGCACAGGGAGACATTTAACTACTCCTGTGGGAGGCTGCCTCTAAGGCAGTATCTGGCCAGAGATGGCTGTAATGTCTCCTGTGCTGGAAAAAGGCAACCCTGTTCTTCTGGGAAACTTGTTGGCCCAGTGGGGATGGGAATGTTTGAGGGAGTGGGGCAGGATGGATGCAGAGGGCTGAAAGAGGTGAGTGTGGTAGGGGTGGAGCAAAGAAGGAAGAGGGCAGGTGGGGTAGGGCCATGGAGGTAGACATGGAGTGGATATAAGAAGAAGTGCGGATGGCAAGGAGCATTGAGGAAATGGTGCTGTGGAGGTGGGAAAAGGTGGAGTGGGGGTGGGGCATGTAACAGGGAAGGGTGTATGGGGACCCAGTTAAAATGATATATCAAAATAGGAGTCTCCCATTACTAGCATTTGAGCACGTGGATTAGACTATTGCTGTGTCCCTCAGGATGCGTTATAAAGCTGGAGTACAGATCTCTCTCTCTCTTCTCTGTTAGTGGTAGGGAGCAATGGCAGCTGAGAGAAAAGGGTGGAAGTACATGGTGGGAGGGAGCATCTAAAAGGGCTAAGTTCTGGAGTGAAGAGGGAAGGGGCCCAAATCTGGCACATACCCAGCCTATGTGGAGACTTGCAGAGGGCGGCACCAGGATGCTACAGAGGAAGCAGCTGAAATATTGTGTGTGAGAGACTGAAACTCTACAGAGCAGGGAGGTTTTTGTGCTGGTCTGTATCACTGTGTGGGCGGGTAGCTGTTATGATTCTGACAGTAATAATCTCCAGCGTCATCTGCTTCAACCCTGCTGATGGTGAATGTGAAATCAGTGCCAGATCCACTGCCGCTGAACCGGTCTGCGACCCCAGATTGACGGGTGGAAGCATCGTAGATGAGGAGCGTAGGAGCTTGTCCTGATTTCTGTTGGTACCAGGCCATGTAGCTGCTAACACTGGAATTGGATTTGCAGCGGATAGTGACTGTGTCTCCTGGAGACACTGCCAGGGATTCTGGAGTCTGAGTCAGCACAATCTGTCCACTGGATTCTGGATGGGAGAAAACATTTAAAAAAAAGAGAAATATTCAGTGACTCAAATCTCATAAGTTTTAACTCATTACAAAGCTGCACATTGTATCCCCCTTCACTGACATCATGAATGCCTCTGGGAAGGATCGCTTTAACATGAAAATCTGAGCGTCTGCAAGCCTGGTATTATTTAAGCTAATTTCCCATCTTATTTCTCTTACCCTGAATGCAGAGCACAAGGAGCCAGAGAAACTGAGTCTGGGAGATCATCTTGGCAAATGTGGAGCTCAGAAGCACAAACGGTTAAAGTGACATGTTTATATCTGCTCTTAACAACAGGGGACTGTCACTGGGATGGAAACATGCAAAGCAGCAGCTCTGTGTAAATGTCCCTTCTCTCTGCAGTCCTAGGGTAACATTAAATGGACTGAACACTCAGGAGACCCATCCTGTGAGTGGACCAGAAAGAAAAGAATAAAAGCTGGGGGTGGAGAACAATAGAAAGCAAACCTTAACCCACCTGTTTTGAGTTACTCTGGATCCGACACCTTTTTATTTCATGGAAAGCTCCCTAACCTTTGGCTTGCCAGATTGGCCATAGAATTTTTAACACAAATTAATCTCCTGCACAAGAAAACATTGAACAAAAACAGAGCCCTATGGACGGTGCCCATTTTGGGTTCCTCTGCATCAGGCAACTTTTTGTTCCAGGGAAAGCTCCCTAGCCTGGCCTTGCCAGATTGTAATAGTCTTTTTATCACAAATTAAACTACATAACAAGGCAACATTGAACATATTGAATGTGAGCATGTGCGGGTTCTCCAAGGGGATGCTCCTGCAGACATCCTGTGTTTGTTGTTCTGTCCATCAAGAGTGTCAGGGCTGCCTCTATTCCTGGTCACAGCACAACAGTTTACAAGGACTCAACAGAGACAAAGGTAAAACCCAGAGGAGTCTGCCACCTCCATCCTCTCTGCTGCTGGGTTCCCTAGCACCCCGTGGCTGTGCTTTTGCTTGAAGCCACCCTCTCTGTTCCTAGCAGCCCCCAGAAGAGTCCTTTGCTGTGCGGTAGCAGAGTCCAGCTCTGTGCGTATTGGATTGCAACAGCCACATTGCATCTGTATTTCTCAGCAGGCAGAAGCTGTTCCTCTGGAATCACAGGAGTAGAAGGGACCTGGGAGGTTTTGGCACAGGGTTGTGTCACTGTGTGAGGGGAGCTGACACCTTATTGGTGATGCTTTCCGTTGTCTGCTTCAACCGCACTGAGAGTGAGAATGTAAATCAGTGTGACCGTTCCCAGAGTGATTGACTCTGAACCAGGCCGAGACGCCAGCAGCAGGGTAGAACCAGAATCATAAGAATGGAGGTTGTGGTGATTGCGCTGGCACCACCGAGTATAGTATCTGCTCCTCGGGTACAAGTGAATAGAAGCAGTGGAGCAGTGGATCTCTGTATTTTTTTGTGTTTTTGTGAGCCACAGGGAGACATTTAATTACTCCTGTGGGAGGTTGCCTCTCAGACAGCACCTGGCCAGAGAGGGCTGTAAGTCTCCTGTGCTGGGAAAAGGCAGCCCTGTTCTTCTGGGAAACTTGTTGGTCCCTTTGAAGTGGGATGCCTGCAGCAGTGTTGAGTGTGTCCCAGTAGAATAACATGGAGAGGTTGATGCTGGGGCTAGGAGGGAGCGCTCTGCTTTGGGGCAGACAAACCTCGCTGAGTGATCCAAGAGACACTTGTGCACGTGACTAGACGTGTGTCCCTGGTGTCGGTCTCGGCTGAATGCATGAAGGGTTTGGGAGTCACAACAGTGAATGTCTAGGATCCTGCTGCTGGTGGAATCCTCAGCCCTGCGTTCGGTACCTGGATCCTTCTAGAAGGCCCAGGGAAAGTTTTAGGTGCCAGAAGAAGGGATTCACAGAGCAGCACATTGAGTAGGGAGTGGCCTAGAACAGCCAGTGGCTGAAAAAACGGGTTGGGCCTCACCCCTCCCTCTCTCAAGAGGTCAGGCACTTCGCTCAGGGCTGGGAGAAGGTGCCTGTCTGCTTGGAATTCATGGCTGTCAACACCCATTTCTGGATCTGGGCACCTCAGCCAGGTCAGGCCTTTCTCCTGAAGGGCTAGAATCCGACTGATGGCTCCCTTTTTTATAGGAATGGCAGTAGAGCTGAGGAGAAGATGCTGACCTGTACACAGCTGTTTGAAATCCTGTCACAGCCTGATTTAGAGCAGGGATTTGGGCTGTGAGAAGCCAGATTTCAGGTGAGTTCCCTGATGGCCGTGCTGTGGGATACGTGTCCCTAAATCTGTCTTGGTGGATCTGTTCCACTTGGAGTAACTAATTAAATAGACATAATCCAGGCTGTCTGTCTCTCTGGGCCAATGGATATTGAATAATGTACAGAAAGGGAAGAGTGTCATTGGTCTCTTCTAAATAACCTTTTCATGCCCAGCGCTAGGAGCTAGTGTGTTTGTGACAGGTGGGTCTGCGGAGGCAGCTGTAAATTATAAGAGGCCTAGGGGCTTTTCTAACTGATTGGAATGCTGAAGCAATGCAGGAATGGGCAGAACGGTTAATCTCTGCCCCGCTGAAAGAGAGTGTACATGAAATGACAGGAAACCACCCTGATGTGCTAGGATTGAAATGCCATTGATGTGAAGTGTGTCAATCTGCTGTTCTGCCTCTGGGGAGAGAAGTGTAATTTAAAACTGCCTTTCTTTCTTTCTTTCTTTCTTTCTTTCTTTCTTTCTTTCTTTCTTTCTTTCTTTCTTTCTTTCTTTCTTTCTTTCTTTCTTTCTTTCTTAGAGCCTCTCCACCCACCTTGCTTTCTCTAGGTTGTCTGCTCTCTGTCTACACTACCCCGCTAGTTCGAACGTGGAATGAGGAGTAACGGTAGTTCGAACTAGGAAGCCTAGTTCGAACTACCTAGTTCGTGCCGCGTGTAGCTGCACGGTACGGGGTTCGAACGAGCGGGGATTTAAAAATGGCGGCACCCCGCTTATGCAAATGAAGCCCGGGAAATTCAAATCCCGGGCTTCATTTGCAATTGAGGTATGCCTACATTACCCTCCTATTTCGAAATAGAAGGGTAGTGTAGACATACCCTGGGAGTAGCCAGGTGATCAGTATCTGTGGACTCTGTTCTGAAATCTGGTGTTATTTCTAATCCCTAGCAAAGAGCCCCCATCGTCCCTTCATGCACCTATTTCTTCTTTCTCATCAATGGTGTCAAATGTGCTGCACTCTCAATTAAGCGAAGCAAAGGAACCAAGGGTTAAGCTCTGTGCTCTGAATTGTTAGACTCTCCTCCCCCTAGTGGTGTTCAGAGAGGCAGGCAAAAGACTTTCCTTATCTCTTTGGGGCTGACATGGTCATTGAGGCTGCAGGAGCAGCAGCTGTTGAGAAGATTCTGTGACAGCAGCGATGTTTTAATGGGCAAAGCCACAGAGCAGCGCAGGGGGGTTGTGGTGACAAGACTTATGGTGAGAAGGAGGCGCTAGCCTGGCTGATAACAGGATCTGAGGTTCAACACTGTTGATTGTGAGGGTGAAGGGAAATCAGATCTCTACCCACTGCCTCTGCAGTGTCTCTAGCCTCAGGGGAGCCACTGTGAAGAATCATGAACTGCCCTGCCCCTTTGGAGTCTGAACATCGGACTCTCTTATTATTCAGTCAATACCTAGAGATCAGCAATGGAGTGAATGGAAATATTTTGTTTGCATCTTGGCATGGTGGATTCTGAATAAAAATTACAGATTTATATTCCACCAAGCAGCAGGGGAGGGAGTGAAAATAAAGTCTGAGTTCATAGGCCTTCCAGCAGGAGTGATTTTGGTCAGATTTTCTTTTGGGTTTCTGCTCTGACTGCAGAGGGAGAATGCCATGGAGAGCTGGTCTTGTGAAGAGTAAACTTTCCATGAAGCCAGACTGTCCCCTAACTGCTACTGAAGAGTTTCTTGTATCTTCCTCCTATGAAGTAGGGTCTGGCCTCTGCTGGAGAGTGATGTTGCATTAGATCAAACTTTTTGCCAGCAGCCTACGTGGCTATGTGCAAACCTTTCTGCAGACCAGCAGCTACTATTGGAAACTCACCATTAATTACTTAATCATACCTAATCCATTTTGCAAGTACTGCAGCTAGGGAGAATATTAATTTAAATGATTAATCAGATTAAGAGCTTTCACTTTGTCATATTAGCATACCAAACTTTCTTTTAAATGAAGTAAAATATTAATTTATGTTCAACACACAAGTTGTCCATGTTTTCTTTATTTATGGCCAAGGTGGGGAACCTTTTTTGAGTTGGGGGCCATTGACTCACAGAATAATCAGTTGGGGACCACACAATTGAGAAGGAAAAAAATGCTCCAGACCCCCCATCCCTCACCTATGTGGCCCCCAACTGAAATACCTCGTTCCTCTGGTGCTCCAGCCCCACAGGGAGAGAGGAAGGGACAGGTAAGACTGAGGTTCAGGGCTTCCCATAGGGGAGATTTACTCTTCTGCGGTTCCAATGTTAGTGGATTTTTCAGATCCTCTAGGCTCTGGGGTGGGGACAAAATGAGGGGTTCAGTGTGCAAGACAGGGCTGCCAACAAGTGGGATAAGGATGGGGGTGCAGGATCTGGGTGGGAGGTGAGGAATAGAGGGGCTAAGGGTGTGAGATCTGGGCAGGAGGTGGGGTGCAGGAGCAGGCTGGAAGTAGGGTGTCTGGCCAGGGGAAGGGAGCTAGAGCAAGGGAAGGTGCAGTGGTGGCCAGGGGGAAGGGTGCAGGAGCAATGGGGGGTGCACGAGCAGGCTAGAGGTGCAGGGTCTTGATAGGATGGTGTGTGAGGGGAGTGGGGTGCAGAGTCTGGACATGAGGGGAAGATGGGGACTTGCTTTCATGCCCTCTGCTGCTCCCAGACATCCGTCTCAAGGCACGTCCTCCCGGCCAATGGGAGCAGCAGGGAATTTCCCCAGGTCGCGCATCCTTGCACTGCTGTTCCCACAACTGAGGGAGGGAGAGGAGTTGCAGCAGTGCACTGAGCTGCTTCTTCCCCGTGACCCAGATGCAGTGGGGAGGCTCAGGGGTGGGTGGGGCAGAAAGCTGGAGCTCCAGTGCAAGCTCCCTGCTGCAGGGGAAAGATGGGGGCTGAGCTTGGGCTACAGACCACTTGGAAGGCAGCTGCAGACCACTAGTGGTTCACGCACCGCAGTTGGAGAACCACTGGATTAGATGGACCAGAACTCAGGTCTAGTGATTGCTGTGTTCATTCCCCTCACGGTCCAGCAC